CGGTATTGTAAAAATTAAGGAATCAATCCTCTGATCCTAATGAAAAATCCCAATATTCATAAAAGCCCTATGCTGGGCCCTATAACATTTGGTCAGAGCTGCTCTCTGTCTTTACATACCAAATAAACCGATGATTTAAACATCGTACAGAGGATTTTCCCAGGTGGAAAACTGACGTCCGTCCCAGGCATGAAGCAAAAGATAAAATTGTACAGCCCAGCAATAAAGAAGCAAGACAAAACCTATATGTGTCAGTAAGCTGGGGAGGGTCCCCTATGAATCCCCATGCTGGCACTGAACCAGGCTTCTCTCCACGAGCATAACTGTGAAATGAATTTAACATTAAGTGTAGCTACCTGACTGCAAGAAATAAATGTTTTATCCTCGGCTTTAAACTGGAGGATTTAAACATTTACATCAGAGGAATGCAAAGAGCTGACTCTTCCCCCAAGCCTTGGGCATGGATGGAGGTTGACCAGCAAGAATGATGGGTCTTATGCTAGAGTTGGGCAGGGAAGGGTTGTTTTGTTTTCCATTATTTTTTTAACTAGTTTTGTTGTCAGCTGCCTAGAATCATCAGATTTTGTTGTCAGCTGCCTAGAATCATCAGAAGAGTTAGACGCCCATATAACTCGCCACTCACACTGTCCACATTTCAAACAGGACCAAAGAATGACGTTGTGGATGTAGTTTGCCAATCTCCCTGAATTTCCAGAAAGAGCAAACGGGTAGAATGGACACCTTAAACCGTTCAAGTGTAAGAGATGACCAGGCTGAGCTCCAGAGAGGAAAGAAGAGCATTATTAATCTTGAGTCTTTTTGCGCCCACAAGAGATCTTAATCTAGCCCACCTTGAGTTCCATTGATTCCGGTCAACTGACCATTAGTAGTTCAGATTCTTGTAGAGAGCATTAGCCTGTCATAAACCTGGAGTCGTTTAAACCGCCTGGCTTCCTCACTTCTTGCGCTTGACATAGATACTATTTCTCTTCTTAGAGCTGTTAAGCTGGGTCAGTTAGCACACAGGACACACTGCTTGAAGGGGATGATGAGTTTATTTCACAGGGTGAAAGACAGCAGAGCAATTGAAGGTGTGGCCACCTATTGAAACCAAGCCTAGGAAGATTTGGGCTTTGTCTCAAAAGTGTGTGAACAACGTTTTGCTTTCAGGCAGACATGTCAAACACAAGGCCCAGGGGCCGGATGCGGCCCACGAAGTGGTTTCATGTGGCCCACGAAGCCATCCTGGAAACAGTGAGGGAACGGCTCCCACTGCCTTGGCCCTGGCCCAGGCCAGCCGGGAGCCAATGTACAATTTTGTGGTGGCCATCTATGCTGAAACACATTCAGTCTTAGCTCCACAAGACAGTCTAGAAACAGCAAGGAACCAGCCCCTGCCGTGTCGGCCCCGCCCCCTGGGTGCATGCTGGGGAGGTGTCACCCTTTGTGAGGAATGAAGAAATGGACCATGCCTTGGCGCTTGCCCCGGTTCCACCCCGTTCTGCCAGAGACCCTCAGATCTGTCCCACTCCTGCCCAGGCCCCCACAGGCACCCTTGACGTGAACGATGTAGAGCTAGCCATGCCCACCCAGTAGGCCACACCGACTCCATCCACATCCACCCAGTAGGCCGCACCCATCCTGGCCACACCCACCTGCCCCCCCAAGGGCAACCGCAATGCTGATGCGGCCCTCAATGAAATTGAGTTTGACACCCCTGCTTTAAGGGGTCAAATTGAAAAGAGGTGATCTCTCTCTGAGAGGGTGATCATCTGCCTCTTTCCATACCCAGGTCCTGACTTTGAGTGATGGGTTGTTAAGAGGCTGTAAGAGAGTTATCTACCTTGAGGGGATTTTCTTTAGTATTCAGTCAATCAGAATAGCACTGGAAGGGACCTTGGAGGTCTTCTAGTCCCACCCCCTGCTCAAGCGGGAGATCCTATACCTGTGGTGGTGAACCTATGGCACGCGTGCCACAGGCGGCATGTGGAGCCGTCTCTGGTGGCACGTGAGCCATTGCTGAGCCGAGCTGCTCCCTCCTCCTCTCCGCGCATGTGCAGCTCTCCCTGCATGCACAGTCTGAGAATTGGCAAGAGGCTATAAAAGGAGCAACTTTCGGCGGAAGCAGCATTTGCTGCAGACAGCGAGAGAGCGAGCACAAGTCGAAGCAGACAGCAAGCCAACAAGCGAGAGCTGACAGTTCGGTGGCCACACCCACTCGGTGGCTATGCCCACCCGGCACCCGGCGATGCATAAGTAGGTTTTGGGTTGCAGTTTGAGAACTCAATCTCTAAAAGGTTCGCCCTATACAATTTCAGACAAATGGTTGTCCAGTCTCTTCTTAAAAACCTCCAGTGATGAAGCATCTACAACTTACGAAGATGTTCCACTGGTTAATTGTTCTCGCTGTTAGGAAGTTTCTCCTTAATTCCAGGTTGCTTCTCCCCTTGATCAGTTTCTAACCATTGTTTCTTGTCCTGCTCTCTGGTGCTTTGGAGAATAATGTGACCCCCTCTTCTTTGTTGCAGCCCCTCAAATATTGGATTAGTGCTATCATGTCACCTCTAGTCCTTCTTTTCTCTAGACTAACCCATTTCTGCAACAGCTCTTCATACGTTTTAGTCTCCAGGCCCTTTAATCATCCTAGCTTCCCTTCTCTGCACTTTTCCCAAAGTCCTAACATCTTTTTTTCAATGTGATGAGACGTTGGAAAAAAGTGCATAGAAAAGCAACTAGGATGATTAAAGGCCTGGAGACTAAAATATATGAAGAACAGTTGCAGGAGTTGGATATGGCTATTTTTAAGTTGCCAGCAAAAGACATGATTTGTCTGTTTCATCCTAGATGTAGGTAGAATGGCTTAGATTGTCTTTTGTCTTGTAATTTTAGGGTTGAGTGACAGCTCGGGAATGGTTGGAGTCATGAATGGCAAGGGTGATGTGGAAGTTTTCTCATCCTATATAAATCTCTGCCCCAAATGGAGTTTAGGACTTTAAACATGGTTGTTATTACTTGTGGCAATCCTCTAGCTCTGAACCTATGGCACGGGTGCCACAGGTGGCACACAGAGCCCTCTCTGTGGGCACGTGCGCCGTCGCCCCAGTCCTAGGCCTTCAGCTGGGTTTTATAAAACCTTTTCACTTTAGGCCTCCACCGCTGTGTGCAAAAAAAAAAAAAAGGTTAAATCAATCAATGAATTTCAACTTTTCGCAGGAAAAAAAAGATCTCACAAAGTTGGAATTGATTGATTGAAATTTTTAGTCCCACCCAGTCTGCCGTTACCACCGCAGCCACACCCACCCAATGGGCCACACCCAGTCAATGGGCCACGCCCACCCGGCACCCGACGATACGTAAGTGGGTTTTGGTTTTCAGTTTGGGCACTCGGTCTCTAAAAGGTTTGCCATCACTGCTCTAGCTGATAGAATGCTCCTGGATTTATATTTGGTCTTGAAGAAGTGGAACAGAACAGAGTTTGAAGGGACCTTGGAGGTCTTCTAGTCCAACCTCTTGCTCAAGCAGGAAAGCCTATACTGTTTCAGACAAATGGCTGTCCGATCTCATCTTGAAAACCTCCAGTGATGGAGCATCCACAACTTCTGAAGGCAAAGCATTCCTCTAGTTAATTATTCTCACTGTTAGGAAATTTCTCCTAAGTTCTAGGTTGCTTCTCTCCTTGATGAGTTTCTGTTAGATCGCGCAGGCAGTAAGACACGAGTCGAGTGACAGTCAGCTCTCGGTTTATTGGCAAGGCATCAAGTAAATCCGGACTGGCTCTCTGGGTCAGGGGAGCCCTCTTTTATGGGATTCCCCTGGCTTGTAATCACACAATTCCATTGGCTGGCAAGACCCTGTTGCTAGTTAGCCAACCAGCAACGGGCATGAAA